TCCTACTAGGGCTTCTGTTCAGGTTAGGTCTTATTTTTGGGGAAACAGGGAAATACTCTTAAGGCACTTTACAGCGATGTCCTGGAAGGAACAGCTTCAGTTTCAAAGGCAGAAGGTAAGAGGCACAAAAGTTCCCTCCGCCCCCCAAATCCCCCCCCATCAAATCCAGAAAAGAGGGCACCTAAGCATCCATTCCAGCCTGCTTGGCAAAGACCCAAAGGCACAATTCAAAACAGGTACGTGGGAAACCCCGGGGTCCACCTGTGCCCCATAAATAAGAGGTGCTTGGCAAAGACCCTAAGGCACAGTTCAAAACAGGTACGTGGGAAACCCTGGGGTCCACCTGTGCCCCATAAATAAGAGGACCATCCTCACCCCTGCCCAAAATCTATTTCACTCTACTGCATTGCGATACATCCTAGGATTCCTGGCCCACTGGCACGCATATATGGATGCACAGGGGGATCAATCCTGCACAGGATTGCCATCTTAGCCTCTTTCCACAGGAGCTTGGAGTGAAATTCAGAAGGACATCCCCTTCACACAGACCCCCCCCCTCCCCTCAGTGCTTCAGGTCTATCCATGCATTTGAGGGAGAAAAAAGCTTCAACAAAATGGCATCTTCCACTCAGAACATCCATCCATCCATCCACACCCAAGGTATGCCATGCACCCCCCTGCCCCACCAACTGGCGCAACACGAAGACGATCCTGAGATGGTGTGACCCTGCCAGCAACGCCTGTATCACTAAGTAGTGGAAAGGAGATAAGGCACAAGTAACCGCCCCCCCTGCCTCCCAGACAGGCACACAAGCCCCCTCGGCCTCCGAGGCAGCTGGGCGGTATTTGGTTAAGGTGGTGGCCCTCAAAAGCCTTGGTGACACAACTGCCTCTGTTCAGATGGCTCCTCTCCCAACTCAAAAACTGTTTGTTGAATGTGACAGACAGGGGTGGTGGTGGGGCTATTGGAAACTAATCCAGAAAATTAATCCACGGTCTCTAACAGAATGGGACCCATACAATGGAAATAAAGAAGGGCCGACAACAAAACCACACACACACACACTCATGCAACACCCTGGAACAGACGCATGCTCCCTGTCAAAGTTAAACCGCTGAATCTGGCAGCTCTACAAAAAGGTGCTGCCATTCTGAGAAACTGTGCAGCCCCCCCTCACTCCACAAGCCTTTGAGCACTTCACGTTGACTTGGGTTGGCAGGGCAGAGCCCCATGAACGTAAGAAAAAAAGAATCGGGCTACTGAACACAGAACTTCCACAAAGGGGGGGGGAGAAACAACAACAGAAGGCTGCCCTAATTTGGGTCAGATTATCTAGTCCTACACCACGTAGCGGGTCAGGGGGTGACACCATGCTTACAAGCCATGCACACCAAAGCCGCATGTGGCTGCATGTCAGATCTTCAGGTGCGCACAGTGAAATCTGGCCAACATCTTGCACCGATTTCACCCGAATCTCGTCTCCTTCCACGCGTACCTCCCCGTTTCAGCTCAACTGGGCAAGGAGAACACCAGAAGCAGGTCTGAGAAACCCAGGAGGGAGGCTTCTTGTAGAGGCCTCCGACCTGCCCTGAAGAGGAAGCGGGCAGACAGATCCTTGCTTCTGCCTCTGCCGTCAACCAGAAGGCGCACAGTCGGCCGAACAGCCAAGCGGCCTCCTTGTACAACCCCCACGAGATCACTTCATTTGCCGACCAGATGTTTCACAAAAATAACCAGGATCCATTTAGTCGCTTTGTGTAGCATGGAAAATTATTTTCTGAAGTGTGGCACTGCGTATTGGGCTGAGATTTAATGCTTCATTCCACTTGGCTTTCTCTTCCAGCCTCCCGTACGGGCCTCTCGGACGATTAAAAAAAAACCAAAAAAAACGGATTGTGCCTGGCTGAGCCGGCAAAAAGCACCTGAGACGGGTGCGATGGAAAAGGGAGAGCGGTCTCCATCCAAAGGCACACAATCCCACCTAGAAATTCTCCCGTTCTTTTCTTTTCTTTTTTTTGCAGCTTCCCTACGTAAAGAAAAGAAGCTGCGTGAGCAAGCTCCTTCTATCACGAAGTCCTTACGTGTTGCTGCTGCTGCTACAGGATGGTGTGTCAGCCAACCCA